CAAAAGTGTGTGAGCCAGAAGCTAAAAAACTGGGAACTAGCTCACACTAACTCAGCTGAGAGGGAATACTGCTTACAGTTAGGAAGTTTCTCCTGATATTCAGCCGGTATCGACTCCCTTGTAATTTCCACCCATTAGATCTAGTCTTGCAACCCGGAGCAAGAGAGAATAGATCTGCTCGATCTTCTACGTGACAGCCCTTCCGATACTTGAAGACGGCAATCGTGTCCCCTCTAAGCCTTCTCTTTCCCAGGCTAAACAGACCCAACTCTTTCAGCCTTTCCTCGTAAGACTTGGATTCCAACCCTCTCGCCATCCTGGTTGCCCTTTTCAGGACACGCTTGAGCTTGTCAACATCCTTCCTACAATGTGGTGCCCAAAACTGGACACAGGACTCCAGGTGGGGCCTGACCATAGCAGAATAGAGCGGAACGACCACCTCCCGTGATCTGGACGCAAAGCTTCTGTTCATGCACCCTAAGATGGCATTAGCTTTCTTCGCAGTCACACCGCACTGCAGGCTCATGTTTAGCTTGTGATCAACCAGAACACCCAGATCCCTTTCACTCGAGTTTAGCTGTCTCACAGAAACCCTCTTTTTCTGTTTCACCAGAACGTTCCTAAACTGTTTTTCCTGACTCGGCCTCTCTCCTGCCTATCAAAAGCAAACAGCTTCATCGACCCAATAGCTGTAGGACCCCTTGAACCTTTTTGTTCCAGCTAAGTGCGACCCCCTGGTTTTCTCCCCCCAACATCCCCCATAATCAGTGCTCTCAAAGCAGTGCTGCTTAAGTAGATGGTCAGATACCTTCCCTCTCCTTTCAAAAGGTTCCTGTTTTCTCCATCTCATCAAGTACATCTCGGTCACATCTGGTCAATTAAGGCTTCTTGCTCCCGCGGTGGGGAGCCAGTTAAGGGCCTGAGCCGTTTTAATAAAGCCCTCGAAGAAGCAAGTCTTGGGGAAGTCAGGCACAGATGCAGGGAGGCATGATGTTATTCAGCAGCGCGGCCGGTTTTGCTTTCCTTCCCTCTATCCAGAATCAACATTGTATGTATTATGTAGGAGCCCATGTTTTTAACCACGGGTTTCACTTGACCTGCCAGCCTAGCAGTTCGAAAGCAAGAAATTGCAAGTAGATAAATAGGTACCGCTTCGGTGGGAAGGTAACAGCGTTCCGTGCGCCTTGGCGTTTAGTCATGCCGGCCACATCACCACGGAAACGTCTTCGGACAGCGCTGGCTCTTTGGCTTGGAAACGGAGATGCGCACTGCCCCCTAGAGGCAGATTCGACTGGCTTTCGAGCAAGGGAAACCTTCCCCTTTACCTTCACTTTGGGCTCAGGACACTGCTTCAGAAACCATTTCGGTGCCCAACGTCCTCTTGGCTCATCCCCCGGTAAGAGCACGCCACAAGCAAAACCAGCGACACACTTATTTAGGGATCCGTTGGACTTTCTCTCACCCCCCCCTCAAAAAAATGCCTCTTCCCCCTTTGTGTTCCATTAAATTCGCTTTTGAGCTTTATTTACAGATCAGAGCCATGGAGATGAAAGCGTGATTAATTAACAGGAAAGGAAATTTGCATCTCGCTTTGGACCTGAGAGTAGAGAGCACATTTCTTTTCTCCCCCCCCCCCTTCACAGCCACAGAGGCACTTTTATTCTAAATTGTTATCCGTTCGCTGTACAATCCAGGAGGGGGGTGTTGTTTGAGGGCTTTTTAAAAAAAAATCTATTCCTACCGAGTCCCTGCAGAAAGCGACTTCGGTGTGTGAAGTGCAGATTTTATGCTGGAGGTCAGCTGCATCACAGATGTCCCCGAGGATATTTTCCGCATAACGGGAATTATTTGGTTGTCTGTTTGTCCACATGCGGGCAGCTGAGAGAATCCGAGTCTCAGGTGATGCGTATTAATGCTATTAAGTAAGTGTTACTTGAGCCACGGAGGAGGTAAATATTTGGATATGATTCAAAATTGTTAGATGTAAATACACTAAGCCATCGTTCCGAGGGGAGGGGCACATCAGGGATGTGCTTTGTTTAAACCCGGGGTCTGTCCACCGGTTCAAGAGCGGCTATTTGGAATCTTTCGTTTGCAGAGAACTAACTGTATTACATTTGGATACATCTTGCTCCGGATTGCAAGACTAGAGCTATTGGGTGGGAATTACAAGGGATTCGGTACCGGCTAAATATCCGTAGAAACTTCCTGACTATCAGAGGGGTTGAGCAGTGGAACAGTCTGCGTCGGGAGGGGGTAGATGCTCCTTCGCTGGACGTTTTCAAGCGGAGGCTGGACGACCATCTTTCGGGTATGTTGTAGGTATGTAGGGCTATCTTTCAGCTATGCTCCTGCAGAGGGCAGGGGGTTGGACTAGATGACCTGCAAGGTCCCTTCCAACGCTAACATTCTACAATTCTAAGGCCTGAATAAAGTTAGTGTGGACCAGATGAGTGGTGTTGGGGCCGATGTACAGTGCCATCCTAAAAGTTACCCCCTTCTAAGCCGAATGGATTTAGAAGGGTGTAACAACTCAAAAAGGATATTATAGCATTGGGGAAAGTGCCAAAAAGGGCAACTAGAATGATAAAAGGGTTGGAACACTTTCCCTATGAAGAAAGGTTAAAGTGCTTATGCGCCATTGAAGACAGACCCTCAGGGTAAGGACTTACCTCCCTCCAGGGGTCGTTTCGTAGAAAAAGAGCTAGGGGAACTCATTAGCCTAACTCATTAGCATATGCCACACCCCCTGACATCACCGGAAGTGTGTCATAAGGCCGCACCCCCTGACATCACCGGAAGTGTGTCATAAGGCCACACACCCCGCTCCCAATGGTCCCGGCCACCGCCGCCGGCGTTGCAGCTCCACTGCCGAGCCCCATGAGGGGCCTGGCGGTGGACCTGCAAGGCCGGCGGGAGTACAAGAAGCCCCGCGAGGGCCCTCCCTGGCCCAAGGCAGGCAGGGGTGGGGAGAGGCAGGGAGGAAGCAACTTACCCTCCCTCTTCTCCTGCCTCCTCCTGGCTGAATGAGGGCCGGAAGCAGGGGGCGCGGCTTCGTCATGTGCCCCGCCCCCCGTACCTCACCCGGGGGAACTGCGATCCCCTGTGATCCCCCCCAAAATGACCTCTGCCTCCCTTGTAAGGCACTGTTTCTTACTGAAGTGGTGCAGCAGGATCTGGCCGCAACCACCTTGGCGTGTAGGTGGGGCTCAGAGGACTGACCAGTCCCCTATACAAAACCGTCCCCCTCCCTCGCTGGAAACCAGCTTATCAGGGAGAACCAGAATCCTTTTGGACTGGTCAGTAGTTTTGTTTGTGGAAGGTAATTGTTTTCTTTTTTTGCATGGAGTGGATTTAGGGTTGCCAGCCTCCAGGCGACGGCTGGAGTCTCCTGCTCTTACAACTGATCTCTGGGTAGGGTTGCCGGATCTTACCTGGCTGCTGACGGAAGTGATGTCATCAAACCAGCACATTGGGTGGGACCCTCTAGCATTTGGGGGGGGGAGATCTCTATGGTTACCAGAGTTTTTACCCGATTGCTAGAGCGTCCCCCGTGTGATGTACCAGGCATGATGACATCATCGTGCCGGGCACGTCAGGAGGGATGGGGCTTTTCAGGGGTGGGTCTACCCCCACCAGCCAGCAGGTCAGTGGTGGATCGGGGGGGGCCAAAATTGGGGGGAACCCCACCCCCATCGGGGGGAGGGCAGCCCTATCTCCAGGCAGCAGATGCCACTGGACTCTTTTGGACCAGGGGACCGGGGGAGGGGAGTTCTGCAACTTACTTGGCTGCTTCTTGCTCTGACAGAGAGCTGCTTGGAGCAGGGGGTGGGGCTTGTTGCATGTGCCCGCCCCCTGGGCTCTTTACTGCCGGAGCTCCGCTCCTGTGCGCTCCTGCAGGAGATGACCCCTGGGTGGGACACTAGCATTTTGGAGGGAACTCTATGGTTACCAGACTTTTTATCCAATTGCTAGAGCGTCCCCCATATGATGTATCCAGCATGATGACGTCATTGTGCTGGGAACGTCAGGAGGGATGGGGTTTTTGGGGGGTGGGTCTCCCCCCACCAGCCAGCAGGTCAGTGGTGGATCGGGGCCCCCAAAATTGGGGGGAACCCCACCCCCATCAGGGGGAGGGCAGCCCTATCTCCAGGCAGTAGAGATCAGCTCACCTAGAGAAAAAGGCTGCTTTGAAGGGTGAACAGTATAGTGTTGTGCCCCAAACCCCGCCCTCCTCAGGCTCCACCCCCAAAATCTCAAGGTGTTTCCCATCCCGGAGCTGGGAACCCTCAGTGGCTTCCAACCAGACAGCGAGGCTCTTCCCCACCTGTCAAAGAGAAATTCAAGGACAACGTTGCCATTCAGATCTGCTTAGTTGCACATGGCAGGTAGACTGAGCTTGTCCTCCTTGCAAGCTAGAGACGCCAACTCCTGTTTGGGAAATTCCTGGACATTTTGGAGGTGGAGTCCGGGGAGGGCAGGGTGTGGGGAGGGCAAAGGACCTGAAGGGGGGCATAATGCCATAAAGTCCACCTTCCGAAGCATCCATTTTCTCCAGGGTAGCTGACCTCTGTAGTCTGGAGATAAAAATTGTCATTCTGGGAGATCTCCAGACCCCACCTGGAGGCTGGCAACCCTGTTTGCAAACCGACCTGCCAAGGGACGGCACCGAAGCCACCGCGGTCTGCCCCGGCTTTGCCACCCTTCCCCAGCACCCGTCGACTGTAGTCTCTCATTCGTGGAAAAACGTGCCGTGATTAACTGTCGCTTCTATGTCGCCATCCGTGCACAGGGTACATTGCAGAGGAAGACGAGGCCCTTAACAATGTTTTCCCTTTTTTCTCTCTTTTCAAAGCCTCATTAAAAGCCCACAATATGGGAGGTGCAGCCGCAGAGAGGCCGGGAGCCGACTGCCGGCCTCTGAAAGGCAGGGAAAGGAATCTTCCTAAGGCCCGATACGGAAATCTTTTGTTTTCTCCTTTTTGTGCGCGGCTCTGGAGGGTCGGCCTTTGCCAGCGAGCCGTACGAGATCATCCGAGAGCGGGGTGCGGATGATCAAAGCGCCCGAGCACCAAAGACAGTACTTTGATGAGCCGCGGCACACAAAGTGCTCTTACACGGACTCACTCGGGGGAACGTGATGCTGTGTACAGTAGGAGATCTATATCACCCGAAGTCTTTATCATTTTCATTCTCTTATCTATCAAAACTCTTTTCATGTTTGGGGGCCGGGGAAGGAGACTCATTAGTCACAGGCAGGGAAAAAATCTCCGGGTTAACCAGAAATAAAACGGGCTTGTTCCTTTAAGTTTACCCTCACAAAAAGATCCCCCAGGGAGGGAGCGTCTTCGTTTTGCCCCCCTCCCTCCAAGAGTACGAGGTGAGGTTTTTTCATCTCCAGCCACACTGTCCTGCAAGGGCGCTGCCTCGAATGCAATCGCGAATGAATAAATCAATGCAGTTGACTTACGGAAATCCGAGCACTCGCGTCGGAAGGAGCACTCGCAGAAAGATCGGCAGCGAGATTTAATGGTTCATCTAACCCAGAGGTTCCCAAACTTATTTGGCCTGCCGACCCATTTTCAGAAAAAAAAATTACTCAGTGTCCCCCTGGAAATCTACCTTCAAAAAGTGGACGAAAAGATGCAGTGACAAATTTGCACCCAAGGCTCCTACCACCCACCTGGATTGTTCCAGCGCCCCTCAGGGGGAGGTATTGCTCACTTTGGGAACCAGTGATCTAACCCCTTTGAGGTTTCCAGGGTATGATCTTGTGGCACATCCCTGTTCTGGTTCTTTTCAACCATTGTCCCTTGTGGAGTTAGCCATGGTACATACCCAGTGATAGTGTTGTGCCTGTGATTAGCACAGTCTTTCATCAGCAACAGAGGCGATCGCCGTTCTTTTCAACCATTGTCCCTTGTGGAGTCAGCCATGGTACAAACCCAGTGATAGTGTTGTGCCTGTGATTACCACAGTCTTTCATCAGCTGCACCTGGCCTTGCTTGTTTCTGAATTTGGGGAATGGATTCCCGCAAGTGGGAGAGAAGGAGGACTTGCACGGAGGGCATTAGGAGAGAAGCGAAACAGAGGCCCCGGTCACACGGACAGGAAACTGCAGAGGAGAAGCGTGGCTGTTTGCCCTGGGGCGAACTACTGCGCAGTTACGTGATCAGACCTCCTGTGGAGGTCGTGTGGAGGTACCGTGGAGGTTCCATGGCAAGGGAGAGGTGCCGATCACAGGACAAGCCGGCGCACAACGAAGAAGCGCGCGCCGCGGCAAACTGTTTTTTAATTTTTGTGTACATGACAAATGCGCATGCTCCGTTGGGTGCGCATGCGCATCCACAGAGACTTGGACAAAAAACAACAACACCTTATTTGCAAGGGGACATGGGCGGGCGCCGGATGCCACCAGAAACGCGATCAGACGCCCGCCCTTGCCCCGCAGTTTCCGGAAACTAGTACCTCCAAGGTACTAGTTTTTTGCCACGCAGTTTCGGCTGGAAGCCTCGGTTGTGCCACGGGAGTGCTACGCTTCCCAGATGTGCTGGTGAGATCGCGCCCAGAAACTCCGGCTGTTTTCCGTCTCACTTGTGTGGCTTCTGTTACGTGTGACCGCAGCCAGAGTTGCTCTTTGAGTTTGCACCAGATAGAGCATGCTTATCCAAGCTTAAAGACTATAGTTACAACATCCAGGATGAAGCAGAAATGTTCTTTCATGTCCTGAACTGGAAGGCATTTCACTACCCTCTCTATACGAATGGGCTTGTTAGCAAAACCAATGTTGCCTAAAGGTTGCGGAGAAAATAGGGTCGCCAGCTTTGGGTGGGGAAATAAGAACATCAGAAGAGCCCTGCTGGATCAGGCCAGTGGTCCATCTAGTCCAGCATCCCGTCTCACACAGTGGCCAACTGGTTCCTCTGGACGGCCAACAACAGGGCAGAGAGGCCAAGGCCTTCAGAAGAATATCAGAATGGCCCAGCTAGGCCAGGCCAGTGGTCCATCTAGTCCAGCATCCTGTCTCACACAGGGGCCAACCGGTTCCTCTGGATACCCAAGAACTGGGCATAGAGGCCGAGGCCTTCCTCTGAAAAGAACCTCAGAAGAGCCTTGCTGGATCAGGCCAGTGGTCCATCTAGTCCAGCATCCTGTCTCACACAGGGGCCAACCGGTTCCTCTGGATACCCAAGAACTGGGCATAGAGGCCGAGGCCTTCCTCTGAAAAGAACCTCAGAAGAGCCTTGCTGGATCAGGCCAGTGGTCCTGCCTCACACAGGGGCCAGCCGGTTCGTCTGGATACCCAAGAACCAGGCAGAGAGGACGAGGCCTTTCCCTGATGATGCCTCCTGGTTCTGGGATTCAGAGGCATAGTCCCTCTGAATGTGGAGGTCCCCTTCAGTTAGCAGTGCTCGAAGCCATCGATAGACTTATCCCCCATAAATCTATCTAATCCCCTTTTAAAGCAGTCTATGCCGGTGGCCATCACTACATCCTCTGGCAGCAGATTCCACTCTGTGCGTAAAGTAGTATTCCCTTTTGTCCGTCCTGAGCCTACTGCTCATCAGTTTCATTGGATACCCTCAAGTTCTACTATTTTGGAAGAGGGAGAAAAAAATTATCTTTGTCAACTCTCTCCATGCCTGGAGTTTTGGGGGGGCAGGGCCTGAGGAGGGTGGGGTTTGGGGAGGGGAGGGGCTTCAATGGGTTATAATGCCATAGAGTCCTCCTTCCAGAGTGGCCATTTTCTCCAGGCGAACTGATCTCTGTTGCCTGGATAGCAATTGTAATCCCAGGAAATCTCCACCCACCACCTGGACATTGGCAATCCTAGGAGACTTTCTACAAAACGCTGTTTAGAAGTATGTTTGCTTGTCTTCTAACGGGAAGCGTCCAATTAGAGTCCCCTTCCCTCCAGGTTTACCTGAAATATACTTGTTACCTTTAACCAATTAAGCCTCCAGATGTTTACATGTGTTTGTCAGTTGCCTTGGGCTCAGTAGAGAAGTGGGGATTTAGCTATTTTAAAATAAGATATATTTTAAAAGACCCTGTTCTAGTTTTCTCAAGCCGAAGTAAAGCAAATGTGACTGCTTAAATACCTTTTTTATCCCTTACGAGCAAATGCAGCGAAGAAACGTTCAGAAGGATTCTTACCAGATGGCAAATTGCGTCTCGGTGTCCATGAAAGAAAGAAAAAATTATCCGGTTTTCTTTCCAGCACACGTTGGGAGGGCACTGGAAAAGAGACACGGGAGAGGAAATCCATTAATTACAGAAAGCTGGAAACTTGCCCGTGAAATCAAAAAAATGTCACGAACCTTCATTGAAAGGCTCAAACGCGTCCGGATGCTCGAAAATACAGTCAGCGTGAGTCGAGAGCGGTATTTTCACTCTAGAGGAATTTTCTTTTTAAAACCGCGACCCTGGGAAAAAAGCTTGCCAAGGGATTAGCTCACTTTGCATTCTTTTGCAAGTCTGTGGTAATTCCCATGAAAGTAAAAGAAGCCGAGGCAATTGTGCAAAGTCTGCGGATAACGCCGAGCATCCTCCCGGTGGCCTTGATCTCCAGAAGCCATGTGAAACGGTTAAAGGCACATTACTGTATAGGTCACCACTGATTTTTTCCCCCTTTCTTCCTGCCGTACAAGATATCTGTGGTTTTACCCTGAATATCTTGACCCTGCTCTTTTTTAAACCTTGCGGCTGCTGTTACTGTATCCAGCGGCGGGGCTTTTTCTGCTTCCAACGACTTGCGAGGAACCGAAAACCGGCCCGAACACCCTGCTTTGTTTTGAATTAAGAAAAGTGGTCTGCCGTAATGCCTTCCTTCTTCTTAACCTTGATTTAGCTCCTGGAAGTTGAACGTGCCTTTCCAGGGTGTTTTTTATGCCCATCGAAGAGGATAAAGGACTTCCATTTATTTATTATTATTTCGCACCATGTACTTAAGTTATTCATGGAACTCAGTTTTGTTGGGGTTTTTTTTTGAAGGCCTGTTCCTTTGATCTGTCAGGTCAGACTTTTCCAGCAACTGATGGCAGGAATTGTTGCCGGGGGAGTAACAGCTTATTCACATGTAGGGCTGCCAAGTGGAGGCGGGGGGTGGGGAAACCCCCGCTTTGGAGGCCCGATTTCCGCCGCGGCGGAATCGGGCCCCAGGGGGAACTCCGCCCCCCAAAGCTGAGATCTGGGCCACGCCCCCAACGTGAGCAACGTCGCACGTCAATTCCGTTGAAGTGAAGCACGCCCGTGCATCCAGAGCCGGCTCCCGGACCCGTTGGAGCCTCCCCCACCGGTGAGTTTGCGGGACTTGGCAACCCTATTCACATGCCTCCAGTGGAGATGCCCTAGAGAAAGATCCCATGTAATGTTTTTTACTACCATGTAGTAACCTCTGCAGCCATTTAAAAAGTTGCCAGTGAGCCACAGGAATCACTCACTTTCCCCAGTATTGGTTCAGAAGGGTAGCCATCTTGGTCTGCAGTGGAACAGCTAGATTTGCATCCAGCATAGGGTTGCCATCCCCCCAGTAGGAGCGGGGAAACCCCCACTTTCACTGGGCTCTTGCCCGCCACCATCCAGCCGACCGAGCGGGGAATCCTGCCCCCAACTGACCTTTATGGGCCTACTTCTGGTTTCGAGCCTACTTCTAGTTTCGGGCCTACTTCCGGTTTTGGACAAAACTCTATGGTTTGAAGCCGAATTCACCCAAAAACCAGAGTATCACCCCAACCAGAAGTAGGCCCGAAACCGGAAGTAGGCCTGAAACCGGAAGTAGGCCCGAAACCGGAAGTAGGCCCCAAAACGCCCAACATCACTTCCAGTCTCTTGGAAGGATGTCAGGAGACCCCCGTTCACCAGGTTTGTCAACCTGGCAACCCTAGTCCAGAAGCACTTTAGAGACCTGCAAGATTTCGGGGCAGGAACTTCCAAGAGCCAAAGGGAGCTTTGACTCTCGAAACGCCACACCCTGAAAATCTTGTGGGTCTCTAAATTGCTACTGGACTCATATCTGTTTCCCTAGCAAGAGGGCCTTTGTGTTTATGATATTAAATTGTGGTTATTATAGAAAGCCCCTGTGATTAT